AGGTCCAAGTCACATAACAAACTAGTGCTGAGTTCACTAGGCAACTAGTAGTGAGCTACATATCAAACATTGAAACCTAATACAGTAGCAAGCCTTTGGAAGTTTCTCCTCTTTCTCTCCTTCTCGCTCCCTTCCTAAAGCACTTGCACTTGCAATTTATATGAAAAGAGCATAATTATGTTAGTAAAATTAGCATATGTGAAAGGAGATTACCAAAATATATAGTAATCAGAAGCGGTACTTGCATGTCTTACTTTGTCTCTGCCCTTCCCCTTTCTCTTCCTGTACCACTTGCACTTCACAAGAAGAGAGTATATTGTTAGCAACACTAAAATTTCCAGAAAAAATAGTAATGGACAGAATGCATGGATCACATACATTGGCTCATTGTTGTCCTCTCCCAAACCCTTTCCTCTTCCCATTCTCCTTCCAGTTGCAGTACTACTTGCACTGGCGCTTTCATTTAATGTTTATTGAAAAAAGTGTTAGTACAAGTACATATTAGTAATTGGGCTAAATAAATGGAATTGGGCAGCAATGCATGTATGACTTAGATTAGGTCATTGCTTCCTTGTCTTGATCCATATTGTGGTGTTGGCTGTCTCATTTTTTGACTAGTTATAGGACCTCCTCGGTAAGTCTTGGCTATATGGCCTAGTTCAGATATTCAGAACACACATTTTTTTTCTTACTAGTGCCAACTTCATCATATGGCTTGATCCTAGATTATCTTGGCCTCTCAAGTTTCCTTCTCAATTTGGGTTTCTTCATTTGTAGCCTACATCAATATGAGAACATTGATCTTGAATTTACTTGCATATGTTTTTCTAAACCTATCAACAGAGAAGTATTCATGGACGAAGTCATCCATCTGTACCTCACTACTGATCTTTGCAATGAAAGCTAAAGCATGGCTATAAGGTTTTCTAGTCACTTGCCAAGGCCGACAGCTACGAGTCTTTTCCTCCAAGTTGACTGCATGCCTGAATCTATTCACAATTACTTCAGCTTTCCTAAACCCACATATTAAACCCCATGGTCTTTGATACTCTTTGTTTTAATATTCAAATCATTGGTAATAACTAGGATTATAATGCCTAGCATATTACTACCAATCTTGGACCTCCAAACGAACTTCTCAATGATTAATTGACCAATATGGTCATGCATTTCAACAATCTAAAAGTCCTTTGTTTTTACATCTAACTATTAAAACATTCAGAGAAGTTTTATTGATATAATCTACCTTACAGTCTTCACTGAATTTGCTTCTACTCCACACATATGGATGGTTTTCGTCCAACCATTCAATAATTTTAGGATCCTTCTCTCTTTTTCCCCATTCTATTTTCCCCATGAAGTAGTTAAACTTTGAAATTATGAAGCTCTTGGCAGCACACGACATATTATTGTCATAAAGAGTACCATTCTAACTTTTCTTCATGTTCTTCCACTAGTGCTTTATGCATTCTCTATGTTCTACTCAAGGATACACATCTTCAACTACCAATCATATTCCCTTTTTCTGCATCTGTGCTAATGACCAAGCTTGTATGAACATTTTGCTCTATGTTAGAAAATACTAGAAACTTGGAACTTAGAAAATAGAGTTAGAAATAGGAAATGTATATACCTAGAGGTGTATCAATAACCTTCTTCACGTTGTATTGACAAACCAAGTCCACTTTCCTTAGACTCGGTCTCAATCTCTCCATATGCAATTGGGAACAACTAATTATGACCATCCACTCCAACAACTGATGCCAACTGACCTCTCGACTGTACCTCCTTGTCAAATGTGTTTGCATACATGGCAATGTGTGGTTTGCACCCTTGCAAGAAGCCATCTAAGCATGGTTAGGTTTAAGAGCAAACAAAGAACCTCATAAAACACACATCACCATTGTGCTCTTCAGTCTCTAGCTCCACAACACTACCAGGTACTGATCTCAGATGCTCAACTTGATAAGTAGGCAACAAATCATAACTATCATCACATTTCCCATATATCATGTCTAGTGCTTTCAACTTCCCTCTAGCAACTCTGTCATATGGAACATCCATTGAGTATTTGTTCTTCAGTTTGTCCCCCAACTTAGTCGGTCCCACTTCAGAGTCATCCCACAATAAGTTGATCACTCTGTCAACCGCCCATTTATTAGAGGTCATTGTTTGACCACACTTATTGAATGAACTACAAGTATGCTTTGGTCCATTGGTCTTAACCTATATCAGGAAAATGTACAAAAATGAATCATCAATGTTATGTGAATGAGAAGATGGTCCGCGCGTTGCTACGGGAATTGAAAAGAATTTAGAACGAAATTGAGTGAAGATGATGTACGTGAATAGCTCGCAATTAAGATGTTGAAAGTTAGTGGGATGACATGGTTATTAGTGGGGAATGATGTAGATGACTTGCATGTTGAGATAGACTTGTAGGGGGGATTAGCGAATTTAGAATGAGAAATTGAGTGGAGATGATGTATGTGAATAGCTTGCAATTAAGATGTTGAAAGTTAGTGGGATCACATGGCTATTAGTGGGGAATGATATGGATGGCTTGCATGTTAAGATAGACTTATAGTGGGGATTAGCTTCATAAGAGATATAGATCGATACAATAGGTCCACTTGCGAAAGGACGAACTCAATAGTTGTCATTTACCTTGCATCCAACATATTTCTTGCTTGCAGATGCAAAAATGTCCACTTGCAACGTTGTTTAGCTCTCTTGCATATGGCCTTAAATCTTTTCTTGTCTTTTTCACAATATGGAAAGCATGATCACGTAAGATAGCATGATGTGTGACTGCTGACTTGCATTGATCCACATCTGGAAATACCATATTTACATCAATACATAGATCATCAGCATCATATGAAAACATGGGAAGATACTCATCTTCCTCATCAACAATTTCACCATCAGGATCAAACTCAGGTTTAGAGCAATCATCATCAAAGTCAGATGATGCAGCCAAATCCATGTCATAGCTCCTATCACTTACTGCCGCAAGTGAATCCGTATCAAAATACGTCCCCTCTGCATCAGCCCCTGCAACCTCATCCTTAGAAGCACCTTTTTTGGTGGTGGCTTTCTTTTTTTTAAGATGTGGCTATGGTTGTTTCGTTTGTGGTTGTCTCATTTGTGGCTCTCTCGTTGGATGCTCTCTCATTTGTGGCTCTCTCACTAGTGCCTTCCTCAATCATGAGCACAACGGTCCACACGGTAGGGTGAAACCTTCGCTTTGTTGGAGAAAATTGATGTGGCCCCTCAAAACCATTTATCTTAGCATTGATGCATACTAATTCTTTCTCTATATTGATTAGAAACCACTCTAACAGATTTTCATCAGATTTTATCTCCATAGAGTAATTCTCCAAATCACGCCACAAAGTTATGTATTATTTAGAACCCCACAAGCAGTGCTCATCAATGAAATCAACTAGCTGCAATAGCCCAAAGCTATGAGCGACAACAACCTTGGTTGGCAAAGTTCTACCATGCCTCCATGACTTTGGACCACCATCTCGCAAGTTGAAAAACGATCGAACTCTAACGAGAAGTTTCAATTCTCTGTGATTTGGCCTACAAATCATAGTAGCAAATATACTTGTTAAAAAATCTAAACATCACTGCTATTTCGCACTGCGTTGAAGCACCCATGTCATAGATTGAAGAAAATATCTGGGCTCTTCCATGGTAGTTGTCGTAGATGTCCTGGAGTTGACCGACCGGTGCTTCGAGGCAGCCGGGGTGCCTTCTTGGTGCTATCATGCGCCCTCCTAGTGCTGCCAAGGTGGCTGGGGGTGGGGAGTCGCCGGCCAGGGGGAGGTCATCGGGACGAGAGTGCATCCTCCAACTGCGTCGCGTGGCGCCTAGGGAGGTCACAGTCATCGGATGAGGCCGAGAGCACAGCCTCCTCCCGCGGAGCCCGAGCCGTTGGGGTATGGTGGCGAGGTAGCGGGGAGGGGGGGACATCGTTGGGACCAAGAGCCGACTTCACCGGTAGTCGCGCCGCCCAAGGTCGCTGGCCAAGGAAAACCTAGCGTCCGCGTGCGCGATAAGGATGCGGTCGAGCAAAAGGTGAGAGAGAATGTGAGCGAAGGAAAGTTTTTGCTGACGTTATTGTTGCCATTTCGTGTGGGTATCTTTTCTTTTTTTTCACAAAATCCACTCAGGTTAAACGGTGTCACAAAATAAGGGTAAGCAGTTGCTTCGTTTCAAAATCACGAGGACAAAATCACAAAGTTAAAAGTCAGCATTGAAGTCTGAAGTAGGGCGGATACATCAAATTTCCAAAACTATATATTTAAAAAGTCAAAAACGACTTAAAATTCAAATGCTTGCCCTGAGGTGTTATTATTATTATTGACGAGTTCGGGAACGGAGTTGCTGGGCCGTCGGACGTTCGCCTCTCCAGGCTAATAGTATGTTTGTTTGGTCGTATTTGGCTTATAATCCATGGTTTATCAGTCAACAAATAATATTTTTTTTTTACATCAAATCAATTTACGGTACTTTTGCTTCCTCAACTGTGGATGTGGTGCGGTACAGCCATTGCACGGCGCACGTGCTCCCCTACCTCCTCGTCTCGTCACTAGTCACTAGTAACAGCTCAAAAGCAGCAAGGCCACTGATAGGTGGGCCGGCGCAGCCACGCTCGCGTACCCTCCTACTGCCTTGTTGTGACCTGTGAGTAGTAGTACAGCTGGAGGGGCGTGTTTGTTGGGGTTGGGGCGCGTGTGCGTTTCATTTCACCGTTCGAGGAAAAGGCAGAATCCTGGCCTTTCCAACTCCAAGGAGTTGCTGTTGCTGCTGCCGTTGCCATTTCTGGGCACGTTCTGAGCCTGATTGGTTTTCAGAGAAAAATACTGGGCGTGAGGAGAGAGATAGAGAGAGGGCGAAGGGGAGGCTTCTTCCGGCAGGGGCTCGCTCCGCTCTCGATTCTTTGCAAGATTGAGTTCAATCATCGCCGCCATCATCACCAAGCAAGCATGGGTATGTATATCAAAACCAAGAGCCGCCCATCTCCCTTCCTTCCTTTCTTGGTGTCGCTCAGGTCGGCCTGCTCCCGTGCGGCGGATAGTGCTTTCCTTCTATGGCGGTGGCGTGGTTACTCTTTCCCTTCTATGCTGTTTTGAGTCTGTTTCCCTCTGGGGAAATTGTTCCAGCTTCAGTTTTCCCTTCTTTACCTCTTTGATGAATTGATTGAAGGATTCCATCGGATTCTTCCGGTCTCTGTTTCATCGTGTTCTTGGAAAACATCGACGAGCTCTTTATTTTTTTTTCTTTTCTGATGATGAGTTGATGAATTCGGTTGTTTGATTCTCGGGAACTAAAAAGGCCCATTTTAGCTGTTCTTGCCCAATAGCCGCAATCGCCGTGGACGCGGCCATACTTTTTTTCTCTTGCATTTCTGGTTTGCAGCTGCGGTTTGATTCAATCTTGACTGGGCGTTTTTTGTTTCAACTCATGAATCAGCATTAGCAGATGGAGAGGCGGCTTATTCTTCTTGGGATTGTGACGATGAGTACCAGAAATTCATCCAAAAGATGAACCCTCCAAGGTAGTACGAACCCAATTCTTCAACAATTTCCTTGTTTCAGAAAATCAATTCCTTCCTTACCTCTGTCAATCTTAGTAGTGTGCAAAGTTTTTTCATGGTCATACTAACATACATGTTGATTCATATTCTTTTCTGAGTTCAGGGTCACTATTGACAACACCTCATGTCCAAATGCTACAGTTATTCATGTGAGTCCCTCAAAAATCAAGTGCTTCTCATTGGTGTGTTTTTTCTTGTTTGTGGCTGAAGCTGACATAGTTTTTTTATTTATTTGAACGATATAGGTGGACAGCGCCAACAAGTATGGGGTACTGTTAGAGGTAGTGCAGGTCCTCACTGACCTCAAACTCATAGTCAAGAAAGCATACATATCCTCAGACGGAGGATGGTTCATGGACGGTAGGACAAAATTAAAATTGTTTCGTCAAAATGGTGTAACAATTTCTAAGCTGTTTGGTTTTTTTCTGTCAGTCTTCAATGTGACGAACCAAAGTGGGCACAAGATAATGGACGAATCTGTGCTAGAAAGTATAAAAGATTACATTTACAAGGTAATGTTTGCCATCATTGTCTGTTCATATTCTTGTTCCCGTTCAGTTTGCTGAATCTGTCAATCTCTTCCTGTGCAGTCTATCGGGCCTGATTCTTGCTTTCTTCCCTCGCGGAGGAGAGCCGTTGGAGTGGAGCCTTCCTCCGACTACACCTTGATAGAGCTAACTGGGACTGACAGGCCCGGTCTTCTCTCCGAAGTGAGCGCTGTGCTCACAAATCTGGAGTGCAATGTGGTGAATGCGGAGCTGTGGACACATAACGAAAGAGCAGCTGCCGTCATGCAGGTCACTGATAGGAAGTCCGGGCTGGCGATTTCGGATGCAGAAAGGCTTGGCAGAATCAAAGAGCGACTTTGCAATGTGTTCAAGGGGAGGAGTCGAGATGCCAAGACAACGGTCGCAATGGGCATAACCCACACAGAGCGGAGGCTGCACCAAATGATGCTTGAGGATCGAGACTACGAAAGGCATGATAAGGACAGGGCAAGTGCCAGCCCCACTTCAATGGTTTCAGTCGTTAACTGGCTTCAGAAAGACTATTCTGTGGTGACAATTCGGTGCAAGGATCGGCCAAAGCTTCTATTCGACACGGTTTGCACCCTAACAGATATGCAATATGTGGTTTTCCATGGGAGCGTGGATACTGAGGGCCCCGACGCTTACCAGGTATCTCACCACGACATTTCAGCTTCAAATTCCTATCGCTGGACATAGACATGCAACCTTTTGTTTCCTACTTTAACACCATGGTTCCACAGGACTATTACATTAGGCACATTGATGGTTCACCTGTCAATTCAGAAGCCGAGAGAAAGAGAATCATCCAATGTCTTGAAGCAGCTATAGAACGGAGAGTATCTGAGGTAATTCTGCAATAGTTAGCAGCACCTATGTGATTATTTTCCTTTTCCTTTTCCTTTTCGCTGTTTGTTTTGCTTTTCTGCGGTCGCAGATGATACTTCTGCATTCATTTAGTTGTTGAGATAGGGACTTGAATGGTGTGATTCATTGCTGTAGGAGGTAAATTGTTGTTGGAGAGTTAGCATTTTGCATTGTCTGGCACACTTTATTGATGAGTCACTATCAATGCTTTGGGTCCTTTTCCTCTTGATGAGGCGCGTGCTGTTTTTCTTCAATGTTCACAATTAACTCATCCCTGCTTACAGTTATTTTCCTACTGTTGTGTGTTTTAATGTAAGCATACAGTAATGAATTGAAGTCAGCAGTGCTTTTTAGTACAAAATTTATCAGCAACTGTATATCCCTTGCAGGGCCTGAAGTTAGAACTGTCAACAGGCGACAGAGTGGGTCTGTTGTTGGACGTAACACGCATCTTCCGAGAGAACGGCTTGACAGTCACAAGAGCAGAAGTTTCAACTAAGGGTGACAAGGCTATCAATACTTTCTATGTCCGTGACGCGGCAGGGAGCTCAGTGGAGCTGAAGACGCTCGAGGCCATACGCCAGGAGATAGGCCAGACCGTGCTTCAAGTGAAAGGGCACCCTGATCAGCCAAAGTCACTAACGCAAGATTCTTCGCCCACTAGGTTCCTCTTCAGCAGCCTCTTTAGACCAAGATCACTCTGCAACCTTGGGTTGATTGGGTCCTGAGTTTCATCCAGCGCATGCAGCTGGTGAGTCCACTACTACTCTGCAAGCGTAGTGGCAAAGAAATTGGCCATAGTGGTGACACCGTGGCAGCCACAGCATGTTCATGAAGCACGCAAGATGCTGGTGTACCAAGTTCCACAATGCAATTAGGAGTATTCATGCATCAGATGACGACCAGTCATATAAAGTAACCCGACCAACCGGCATGTACGCCATCAACAGTTGGTGCATACAGTAGGTTCTTTAGCACCATCCACCATTGTAGATACTTCATTTCCCCCATTTAGTGTAGAGCTGTAAGTACCATCGACATGGTGGTGCCCATTGCAAGTAGTGGCTAGTAAGTAAGTATGATTCAAACTGTTGTAAATATTGGCCTTGGCCATCTGTAGCAGCTGTCTAAATCCTGCGGGTGTCATTGTTGGATGCTGATACCGCCATCAGAAGGGGAGTTGCCTCTTGGGGATATTCAGAGGGTGGGTGAAAGTGGCATCGATGGCTATGGAGCAGTGCATGAGCTGGAGCATACTTGTCCAAGGAATCGAGCCGACGGCGACCCGGTTGTCATTTGTGCCGGGCGCACATGTCGAAAATGGCCGCCAGCTCTGCCCGGGGCCCTACCGTGGCTGCAAGCTGGTGCTTGGAGTTTTGGATGTGGAGTGCCCTCTCACTCTGCACTTCCTGACCGGATGCAATGCAGGAGGCCAAGAGCCCATCAGCCTTTTCGCTTATTGATTGCAGTCAACGCTTATCAATCAACTAAAAATATTTTTTTTCACAATAAACTAGCATCAATCAGGCTTATCAACCCAGAAAACAACGTGAAACAACCGGCTAACAGCCTCAGTGAACGAGCGATGGCGGGCCGGCCTGCCTCTGCCTCTCTCGTCTCATAGGCAGGCAGAGGCGTACGTCTAGTAGGTGTCTCTCTCGTCTTGTCCTTGTGGCGCCAATGCATGCAACAACCCATGTTTGGTCTCACTCATGTTTCCTCGTTTTCTGTCATGCTGTCTCTTTGCCTACTGTTCAGTCTCACTCATGTTAGATTGTTAGTACCTTCTACCTAGTGAGTCCCGCAAGACATTGCCTACTGTTTGTGTTTCTCAGAGAACGAAATTTCGTGATTTTATCCTACTTCATCGTCAACTCAGCACCAACTCTTCCACATGCAAATTTTTAAGACGTGAAATATACAAAATCTGTGGTTGGAAACAAAGTAATCGTCAAATATTCGCAGATGGCTCATGGTGTTCCGTATTCTTGGACATGTTGGCATGTTGCTACATGACATAGCTGCTGTCTAAAAAGTATACTACTGGAATGGGATATGTTTCTGAATACTTACGGAATTCCTATTTGTATCATCAGAATGTTTGCAAGGCCTGTGAAAGACCTTGTGCCGTACTGCCACCAGAATCTCTCATAAAAACACAGAGGCCCTACAGGCAAGACAGGGCCGCCGGGGCCATCTATTCCTACGTGTTGTTACCTGCAGATATTTCTGGCGCCTGGTAAATACTACTACTAGCGTTCTTGCTGCCCTGGTGTAGTTTTACATTAGAGTACTTTTTTTTAAGACATCACCGAGGGGTGAGCGCACTCCATTGATACCGACAAGCCGGGGATGAAGGGTGCCAATGACATCTTTTTTTTTTAGATAATGGAACAAGGTTCCAGACTCAAAGCGTGAGCTGTGCTCATCTGCAGCCTTGCAGCAACTTTTCAGTCAGATCTTGCCACTGTCATCGCTGGGCTGGGCGATGGCAGTGCATGAGCTGGAACAGATCTGGTCAGTTGCTACGTACCCTACCACAGGTTGCATTGGAGCTGGAGGACAGGAGGATGATCTTCAGCTCATCACTCTTCAATAAGATCCGTGTATGATGTGCAGATGCAGATACAACTGATTCTTCTCAGTTCTCACCTTTTCTTTACTGTCTTCTCACCCTTTTTTTAGAAGAAGAAAACTCTTCCGTTTCTATGCATGCAATATTTGAGGCCACCGTTCCGAAATATATATAATCTGCCATGTATGTATGTTCATTCAGTCTAAAGGTTATATCAACATGCTTCATCATGTCATGTGACATCTTTTTTCTTCTGTCATGCATGCAAGGGAAGAGCCGGTCTTTTCATGTCGTGGGGAAGCCAAGTGAGCGGAGGATCTTAACCAGAAAGGGTTTGGTGGGCATGCATCCATCTTTAGGGACGGCAGCGGCTGCTGAAACCATGTGGATTCCAATCCAACAGGTTGGAGTTGGAGCCTACTCCTATCTATCTACCCATCTATCTATCTATCTATCTATCTATCTATCTATCTATCAGGTTCAGGGTTCAGGGGGCAGCAATATGTGTCTCCCATAACTCCTGTACCACTGCACTTATGTAAGATGATCACAGCTTCACAGTGTCCATCTCTTCTGCCACAATGCAAGCCCACCAATCCCTTTCTGGTGACTGGTGGGACTAGCTAGGCACATGTGGCACAGTCTTAGGGCTATGCATGCTCCCCCACCCCATATATAGCTGTGTTTCTAGATATGGGGAATTGGAAATTTGGAATCCAACTATTATCTCCTCATCTCCTCCTCCTAGACTAAAAGTTTGGCAGTGGCACCATTGTGGCCACCTTTTTTTTTCCGAAAAAAAGTCTGTTCCACCCATCGGTTAAATGGTTGGATGTTAACACACTAAAAGGAGCATGATTAGAACGCAAAAGTTTCCTATTAATTGGGCACCAAGTAGTGGCGACGATAATTGAGCATCCACGTGGAAGTGGAAGAAGCATTTTACAAACCTTTTTCAGGCCATCATACCTTTAGTTACCAATGGTGGAAGAGGCATTTTATGAACCTGTTTGTAACATTTCCTGGAAAAAGGCCCAATCATCAACTACAGAGCTACTACTACGACGCGCAGATGCTTGCTGACGCAGAATAGTAATACTTCTCATGGCAGCAGCAGGAAACTCCTCTCCGGCGAGGCCGCCGATGACAAGAATGAGCCATGACCTGTATCTTGTTTAAAGTTGAGCGGCCTCTAGCTAGGTTCAGTTTGCTTAGGTTTTTGTCTAAATAAATCTACCGACAAAATCATTACCTCACTATTTGTAATGACTTTGGCAATGACCATTATATGTCCAGGCGTCTCTATCTCTCTAGCCAAGAAGATAAGAGGCAAATCAGAACTTGTTGCCTTGTTGGGAATCTATTGTTTACTGGGGAATTACATTGCCCAAACACTAATTCTGTCCATTTGAAACCACCCCCATCAACATCCAAAAAGAAGTACAGATTGCAGAGCTAGAGTAGCTAGGCCATGAAGCAGTGCTGTGCTTCACTCATCCCTAGCTAGTTGGCAGCATTTCATGGAATAATACCACTGGTCGTCCAAAGGATCCGCTATCTAGCGACTAGCAGGGTATGGAAACAATGGCGTGTGTATGTGTATTGCATTGGACATGGACAGGAAACAAATCTACTGTCAGGTATGGAGGCTGAATTCCATGGATGCAACCAACACGAGGCTGCTGGCGTTGAATCGGACTTCATAGTCCACGTGGGGATAAACAAAAAAAGGAGGCGGCGGTGGCGACCGCTATCATCTCTTCTGTAACAGGAGAACGACGTCTCAACAAAAATTCGGATCATCAACTATGAGAAGAAGAATAAGTGAAGTGAAGCTAGTCAGGGTGAAAACATTTTTGAGAGGAAAAAACACTAGAGATGATATTGTGGAGAAAAACTAAATAATTTCACGAATTAAATGGAATATCTTCTCTTCTCAACAAAGCAGTGTCGAACTAGAAGCGCAGAATAACGTAAAAAGGGTAGTAGTAAAAAAGCATATAAGATTTATGTAAATAAAGACTAGTGAAGGAGAGATTGTCCCCCTGGCATTTGAATCCCTGCGAAAGTCGTCGACCCATTTTTCGACAGTTTTTCTCGCCACCTCTGTTACGTGCATATTTTGCTGTCTCTATGTTCCTACTATATATGTAGCTCATCAAGCAATGATCAGAGTGACATGTTTGTTGGCAACTGTAAGCCACCGTTGAGATGCACTTGTCGACAGCAGCCTTGAATTGTGCCAGTAATACCCCCACACCTAACTCTAACTGCGATCGTTGCAACTGGTGCTTCGTAACAGCAGAGGCGCCGATAGCCATGAACAAGGCTACACAGATACATCTTGTGGCTTGTGGCTCATTGATAGATAGGAAACTTCCTGGTTCTTCTATCCAACCTCTCTACGGTCAATTGGGTCCTTGGATCCGCGCCCTGATCGGGAGCGCCCAACCCTACATGGTTGGTGGGCCCCCATCACACTACGCTATAAAAGAAAGGTGGGGCCGGCGGCTCAGATCACGAAGTTCACCTGAGCTATAGTCGCCCCACCGACACAACCCTAATCCGATCTAAGAGAGGGTGCGCAGCCAGTGACGGAAGCACCGCCACAGGCCAACGCCGCCACTACACCGCCGCCCTTCGACACAACGCCTCTACCGAGTCTTCATCAAGCGCCGCCATGGCCAGCTCGTCTTCCTCGAAGGCGGCCGATGGTTTGCACTTCTTCCACCCCTCTCCCTCTCACTCTATCTATTAATCCCATACTGGTAGACGTTCTAGGACTCGCTGTTTACTCCAAATACAAGTACACATGCTAGATCTATAGCTAGTGATCATGTGTTATGTCTATCAATGGTATCAGTCGCCTAACTAAGCGTAGATCTAGCCTACCGGAATAGAAAATCGAATAACAGCATTTAGAAGAAGGTGATAGATCCGTTTCAAATCTAAGCAGAGGGTTTATCGAACCCTAAACCCAAATCGGGTGAAGAACAGCAGTAAGAACGGGGTCCCGGCTTCAAGAGAACTCGAACCGAGCCCTAACCCGTGAAGAAACCGCTCGGGGAAGATGAACAGTAAGGAAACCCTAACCCTAATCTCGATCCTAACCCCATCCCCAACCCTAAATCGGATAGATCCGAGAAGAAAAGA